GCCAGCCGCTCGCAGGTGCAGAGGATGCTGCGAGACATGGAGCAGCTGAGGAAGGCCGAGATGGCCCTTGATGATATGCAGAAGGAGCTAGAAAAAGCGCGCTTGGAACAGGTCTGAATAAACTTTAAATAAAAAAAAAACTTTATTGTATAACGAGCTGTTCTCGTGCGGCTTCATTCGCATAAATGAAATTGTAAAATCTTTATTTTATTGATTACATTTGTCAAATTCTCAATTGCAATTGTCAAAATTCAATTTGGAATAGGTATATTTTAACTGACTTTAAAATGGAGGAGGTTATCAATTCGTCTATATTTTTCGTATCTTCGCTCCTGGTTGAATTTCCATAATTTGTTAGGTAATTTAATGAAAATTCTAAGAAAGAACTTACGTTAAGTGCAAAGTCCTTAAGTACCACTTATCAATTACTTGTAGATAAACTTTATTCTTGTGTCATATTTTTCTAAGAAACACACATGCGTTTCACACATGTAGTATGTACATGTTAATTTGAGAACCAATTATAGTTTATATTTCCTGGCAGAAGAGTTCAAATTGTATTAAATCACTTACCGTGGCTTGCATCATTTGTACGAAACATGTGACATCCCACGCACAAAATTATGCTTTTTTTGTTATTCTACTAGCTTTTGCCAGCGACTAAGTCCGCTTGGAATTCAAAGAAACAAAAATAAGTAGCCTAAGTGTTCAGACTATCCTCTATATCCATGCCAAATTTAATCGAGATCCGTTCAACAGTTTAGGCTACAAACTCTAACAAACATCCATCCATCTAAACTATCGCATTTATAATACTAGTATGTTTAATCCTCCTTCGTATAACTCCTAAATCTAAAATCTTAAGTCTTATTCTCGATTTAAAACTATATCTAGACTAAGTTTAAGATGGGGAGAAGGGGGCAGATACTTTTAGTAGGTTCTTGTTCAAAGTATTTTTTATAACTAGTTTACATTTTTCGACTCGTAAGAAGAGCTTGTATACCTAAATATTTTACGGGTAAATAAAATAACTCAATAGCTCATCTTTTCCAGTCTACAACCTTTTTTACCTTAAGTCGAATTTCAGGTCTTTTTTTGCTTTTTTTTGTTAAATGAAGTATTCTATGTATTTCAGGAGAGCGTCACAACAGAGAAACGTAATTTAGAGAAGAAGTTACGTGAAGCGGGAGACACGCCCCTATTGAACTCCGCCTCCTCAGATTTAGAAGTGTCTACGCTCAAAGCTGAAATTGAGGTGAATTCATATTTATGTATAGAAAATTAAGTTAAAACCTTTATCTTGTCATTTCTTTATTGCTCACAAATATTTAATATCAATAAATGACGACTAAAAATATTTAAGACTAGAAATATTTTTGATTAGATGTTCTCGTGCGACTTCATTCGCAAGAAATTAGAAAAAACCGTATTTAGTTGTTTACATTTCGTAAAATATTCAATTGCAATTCAAAATTAAATGCTCAAATACAACGATGGCCTTTAACATTGGCTGAGTATTGTTTATGGCTAACTATAGCGACTTTAATTTGTTATTGCTATCAGCTTGCAGTTTTCGTCCATTTCCCAAATAACAGTTATTTTCTAATTTATTTACAACTTAAATTTAATAGCTTGAAAATATATAGCCTAAAGCGTGTCATTAGTGTAGGGCTTGTTGAAAACAGAATTATTTAAAAAATGCTGTGGTTGCTGACTTCTTACATAACTAAGGCCACTTCACACACTGGTGTGTTTATTTTTTATTATAGTCGTATACAGTAACTACCCAGTCTAGAACTATAGATTTATGTGTTACTAGCATAAAATATTCAGCTATCTTCCCTTTAAAATCTTTACAGTTGTAAATATCAGAATACAATAGACGAGTAATCGATTTTATAGAGTTGATTTTGTTGTTTTACAATTTTGAACTCTTTTACTCAGATGTTAAGGGCGGAACTCCGTCGCGCGGAGGGGGAGTTAGAGGACAGGTGCTGGGCGCCGCCGCCCGGCCTGCAGCAGTGGCTGCAGCTCACACACGAGGTCGAGAACCGCGCGTACCTTCGGAAGAAGCAGCAAGCTGACCTCCAACTGCAGCAGGCGAGAGAGGCTGTGAGTATACCTGTATTTGTACACATGTCTCTTTTTTTCTATAAAGAATAAGCGATGACCAGAAATTAAAAAAAATATAGAGTAGGCATAGTGACACTTCACTTGTAACATAACATAACCTCACTAATGATATAATAGGAGTATTTAAAAAATAGTTAAATATTTATAATTTTATTTTTAAACGATGTTTAGTTTGTCACATGTCAATACAAGCACAACGACTAAACTTTACAACTGATGTAGTACCTTTTAGAGAAAGTACCAATGGACAATTTTGTTCACTATGCCTAGTCTATGTATTTCTTAAATGTCTTTGATGGCACATATAACAAGGATCATGACCGTCCAATTCTGGAGTAACATTAGTCGGGAGGAGCTGTCTAAGAGACAAGAAGAGCTTGGAAACGACCAAAGTTTTTGTCAAATTTACCTGTTGAAGAAATTGTATATTGTATAGTTTGACGCCTTTGCCCTTATTTAAAACGTCTGATGAATAGTTCTAAAAAGTTTGATAATTCACTTGAAGTTTCAGCCGTGAACTATGTAAGTGAAATTGAAAATAATCGCAATAAATTTTAGGGTTGCTTTTTAACTTACGAGTAGACAAGCTTACGCAAGAGATTTATGTATTCTTCCAGACTGTTATAGATATTTCTGAATTTTATCATTTTATACATCTAAACTTTCGTATTTGTAATATTACTATGAAGTATAATAGAAAATATTGTTTTGATTGTATATAATTGTGGTATTCAGTGTGAGAAGTTACGTAAGAAGAGGTCGAGCCTGGTGGGGGCGTTTGTATCGACTCACGGCAAGTCCATAGACGACGTGGACCGCTCCATTGTGGAAGCGCGCACTGCGCTCAACGAAGTCACACAGGAATTACAGGTTTTAACATTTACACTGATTTTTAGCAATTTTTATTGATAGTATAGATATTTTTAACAATGCTAGAACATTAAAAATCTTCGCATTGTAGGGCTCGTCCGGTGTAATACCACAAAAAACAGGCGTGAAGTGGAAGTAATTCCGCGTTTTGTATCATTTAAGTGTCTTTCCCTTTTCTTAAGAAAAAGGGATAGGAAGGAAAAGTGGATTTGACTGTGGAGGAGACGCATAGGAAGAGGAAATAGCGGCTTCAGGTGGCCGCTTGCTAGTTTGCCATCCTATAATAATAAAAAAGTAGATAACCCAAGGAAAGGTCTGAAGAACTAGTCTCCTAAATGCTCTTCATATACTTTAGGGCCTATTTTCACTGCCGCGGTTAATTGCTAAGTGGAAATGAATATTTTAATTACAACCTCAGGATATTGATGACGTGTCTGACTAATATGCTATAGTTAAATTTTGGATTAATTACTGTTTTTGTATTCCAGGAGAGAATGCACCGATGGAAGCAAATTGAACGTTTGTGCGGTTTTAATATAATAAATAACAACGGTCTGCAGTTCCTCGAGAGCACGCTCTATAGGACTGCCAACGGACGACAGACAGGCAGAGGTACATATCTATATTATTATAAAGAGGAAAGATTTGTATTTTTGTATGTATTGAAATAACTCAAAAACTACTGGTACGATTTTAATTCTTTCACCATTAAAACATTTATCACTGAGTATACATAGAGTATGTATTTTACTATTTTATTTGCTATGTATTGTCACGGTATTAAACTCAGGAGTAAATAAACTGTCATGTGAGAAAGGGACAAAAACTACAAGCCAATAGCAAAGAAATAAGATTGCCATGGTAATGGTAAATCTTTTCCAATAGCAATGGCCTTCGTTGTTTTTGTGCATTTGAATTTTGACATATGTAATTGAATGTTTTATAAATATAAATAACTAGCTGTTCCTTGCGACTTCATCCGCATAAAATTATGAAAATTTTATTTTTTTACATGTGTCAAATTATCAATAGCAAATGTCAAAATGACATGACATGATGACAACCTTGCTTTTTTGATGTTGGCAGCAACTTATGGTATCTTTCCTACATTAGGGTTTTTATCCAAAATATTTACCCCTAAGTTTGGCGTGAAAATATATAGCCTAAAGCGTGACGTAAGTGTAGGGCTTTTTATTAAAAAAAAAATGATTCAAAAATATGCTGTAATAGCTGACATCTTGGGCAACAAAGACGTGTGTGTTTACGCTTTATTATAATAGTATAGATAAAATAAAGTTTTTGTATTTTATTGCGGATGGGAACAGGTAGTATAAAAAAGCGTTTTGGTCCTTCGAGTCAGATCAATGCATGTCTATATAAAAAACGTATAATGCAGTATGTTTTAATTTTGTTGATTATTTTTGAAGCTTATGTTATTAAATAAAATATGTAATTTGTTTTTCAGTTCGAATGAGCAGTTCTCAAGATGATTTGAGCGTGGGCGACGACGTGTCGATCTGCGGCTCCGGTAAGTTAGACGACGCGTCCATCTTTCACGAGCACGTCGAGTGAACTGAACTGTACTCGTGTTGGGGCCAACGTTCGCCATACCATGTACTACATTGGCTTTATATTGACAAATGTTTGACCAATTTTTGAATTTGTCATATTTTAAAAATTTTAAATGTATTAAATTTATTTAGGAAATTAATATAATATCAAAAAAATACGATAAATTATTACAAAAGACATGGAAAAATAGAGAGTTTTTAGAAGAGGTTTTGTTAAAAGACACTACTTATATTTGTTTCTTCATAGTTTTTTTTTAAGTTCGTCGCATTTTTAATTACATAAAAGCCAAGTCCTGATAAAAATGTATTAGTAATATATAAAAATTAACTATATTTATTCCAAAATTTCACTGCCGATACACATTTAAATCTGACAAAAAAATTATAAAGAGGAAAGGTTTTAATAAATATAAAAAAAAACTAAAACATTCAACAAACTTAAGTCACAAATACATAAACCACAATAAATAACAATATGTATTAAATTAAATACGAAAATGCGTATAAATGTTACTGTAGCGTTGTTTTCGCGCTAATAGTTAAAGTTCCATCATTATTTAACTTATTACTAACTTAACTTACAATTCATACTTTAAGTTAAAACATACAAAATTATTTATTTATCTACTAATTACTGCATTTCCATAACAAAACAAAAAAATCTTCAAAAATTTCTAACTTAATTTTTAAAAAATGTAATCAATTTTTTAGTTACCATAAGTTACTAATTGTTAGGTTAATTTTAGTAAATAATCTTATTTAATGCTTTTAGTAGGTTTATAGCGCTCAAACAATTTAGAATTATAGTTTATTGTACTTAATTTTTAGTACAAAATATAGCAGCTTTTGAAATGGCAATGACAATAAAAAAAACATTTTTATCATCAAACACTTAACAATCTATATAATTTATGTTTAATTTTAATTGATACAAAATGCAGCATTTTATGGCAACACTATCTTAAAAAATACTATAGGAATATTTATAAAAGTAACTATTAGTGATTATTTAAATATATTATTTTTATTATTATGTATTAGTAAGAAATATCATATAAAATATGAAACTACGTCTTCGAATCTATATGTTTTAAAAATATGTGTTCCTCAAAGAGATCTGTATAAGGCTTTTTTAATTAAATGTGATACAAATATCTATGACATTAATGTATTAAATTATAAAAGTATTTTTGGATAAATGTTTGTTAGAAATTTTATATTTAGTTCTGGCAACATTGACAGATGTCAAATTGAAAAGTATTGGCAACATTTTTAGAATGAAGCATTTGTAATTTTAAATTAATTTATAAGAAGGATTGTATCATTTTTATCAAATAAATATATTTTTACCTATACTATCACAATCGATAGAAAGCTTTCAGGCTTTATGTGCGTTTCTTTTCACGTATAAATTTATAAAAATGCACAAACTTGTTTCATAAAATCTATTTACCAAAAGCATGTATGTATCGGAAAATGTTCGCTTTGGGTTTTGGGTTGTTTATCATTGCATGTATCCCCTTCTGTTTTATTTTTTTTTATTACATAGTCCAGTATAATGATGTTTTATTCGTTTGCCTAGATAAAGTGACTTTCGATTAGCGATATTGCTAGTAGAATCGACAATATATGGCAAAATGTATAGATATAATTTGACTCGACTTAACTTGAATGTTCATACATTTTTGACGATAATCGAATGTCACTTTGTCAAGGCCTTGTGTAGTCTTATATTGCCTTTGTAAAATCTGGTTTTCAACCCTATTTCTATGTAGTCTATAGACAAATTAGGAATTCTAGGTAAGTCTAACTTTGACTATTTAAGTAAAGATTTAAAATATTTATTATGTTACTATTTTTCTTCAGGTACTTTTTTCGGAATGTTCTAGATTTAATTTTAAGGAATTTGCCTAAGGGCCTAACATTTTCTTACGTTTCGGTTCTTTGTCATAAATACAAATTAGGACTGTCAAATGACATTGGACTTACTTAGTATAGTCAAACAAGGATATCTGTTCCGTTGAGAGGTAACCAGTTGGTTCGGACAGAAAATATACAGGGTGATTTTAAATAACTTTAAAAATCGGGAAACGGACTTTGCGTTTAAATGATAGCTAATGAAGTCCGATACTCCTACAAAAGCGTTGATCCATCTGTTAAGAATCACCTGTATAAAATCATTATATGAAAGTTACAATAAAAAAAAACCTTGTGTCACTTTTTGACATTGACATACCGTTAGTAAGCTGTTATAAATTAGTTTTTCTTTTGCCCACCAGGTGAGATATCTTTGTTGGACTATGTCAATGCATTTTACATGTATTTAACTATTTTTGTTTCATAATCATTGTGATTGTCATCTGTGTATGTCCTTTTTTATTACTTTTTTAAATATTGCAACATTTTTATCTATAGTATTTTGTAGGTTATCTTTTGCACGTTTGAAAGCTTTTGACGATTGTGATATTGTTTTATTTCTCCTGCCTATAGCTTCCCCTCAGTGTTGCAAACTTTTAATAGACTAGCTGCTTTATATGGCAACATTACAGGTAAGAATTATAGTACTATAAAATTATTGCTTGGTATATGATTAATAACTAAATAATGCCTAAACTAAAATAAAACTATTTCATACATGCTTTTGGTTAATGTAACAAAACTAAAGAATTATTTAATGTAACAAGGGTATAAGTTAAAATTTAGATAAATGTAATATTTATTTGGTAATGTTGACTGAAGCTAATTTAAAAAGATTATAAAAAAGTATTAATGTAAGTAATATGGGTGTATTAGTTAAAATATTGATGTTTGTATTTAGATGTATTTAATAGTTTGTATGAATGTGTATGATGTACAATTTCCAGTGGCCGATAATTTCGGTTGGCGCGAAGATTCATCAGGAAGCGAAGAACACGACGCACCTCACTATCCTCTAGATCTGAGACTCGCTGAGGCGAGGTACGTTTTATACAATCCATTTATTTTACAATATAGTGAAATTACAATTTAACCTTTTTAATAGTTGTTAAATATTTTAGGACTTAATGGTCCTTCAAGTCGGATACAAACTATGTACAATGTAATGTCTTGTAATACTCTTTTCCGTGTAAGTGTTCCTAAATGTTTATAAGACAATGCTTTCGCCCGCGACTCCGTCCACGTGAAATTATAAAAACAGAAGTAAGTAGCCTAGGTGTTCTTCCAGACTATCATCTCTATCTTTGGCAAATTTCATCTTAATCCGTCCATTAGTTTAAGCTACAAACTCTAACAAACATCCATCTATCTAAACTTTTACATTGATGTTAGTAATATTAATGTTTCAGATTGCAACTTGAAGAGCGCCTAGCTCAAGAGGCTCGCGAGCGGCGGCCGGAGGAGAAGCGCGAGGAGGAGCGGAGGTACGAGC